AAACATGTACTGTAGAGAAGCAGAGGGTATAGTGAGATCGATCTATAGCATACCATGTATGTTACATTCGTCTTATTGCGTACTCTCTCCCCACTTGCTTGCAATTAGAATATATGTCTTAAACATAAACTTACTGGAGTGTGCAGGTCTACGAGAATCAGGAATGAAGATATACGATTGGAGCGATATCTCCACGCCAACAAGGACCCGCTGATTGCATTCATTATTTTTTTACTTAAACAACTGTGTTGTGGTAAGTTCCATTCCCTATAAAAAATAAAATTCATATTCATTAAGTATTACTTTCTTTTAATATATAAATATTTGATTTTTTAATATTTTTTCTTTTTATACTAAAAAAAATTCCATTAAAATAAAGAAGGTAATATAGAAGATTATTTTTAAAAAAATTATAAAAAAAAATATAATGTTATAAGATGAAAGAAAGAAAAAAAATGAGTAGGGAGTATGTGCTCTCTTTGTTTAAATGTATTTGTTCTCGTCTGTTACCTCCTTATTCTGCAAGATCATAAGCACAAGCAGACTATATTAAAACGAAAAATAAGTAATATATCTAGCAAAAGATAATTCATAAAATAGAACGTAAAGCTCCAGACTTTCCGAGATAAACCTAAACGGGAGCATCGGGCCCCGCCGCCCCCGGAGCGCCCGCAGGGCTGGGCCCGCCGCCGCCGCCGCCGCTCGCCCCGCAGCTGGGGGCGGGGTTGGGGTTGGGGCCCGGGCCCCCAGTGCTGTCCGGGTCGGTGCTCTTGGCCTCTTTGCTCTCGTCGTCCCGGGAGGAATCAGACTTCTTGCCCGAGGAGCCGTTCTTGGCCGCGGCCGCAGCCGCCGCCGCCGCGCGCTCCTGCTTGCGAAACTTGGCCCGGCGGTTTTGGAACCACACCTGGCCGGAGATGCGAGGGGAGGCGGGCGAGAAGGAAGGAAACGAGAAGGAAAAGTGCCGGTGAGGGTGGGCCGTGTCCAGTTCCCGCTTGTTGCAACCCGCACCCCACGCCCCACTACCTCCACCGTGCGCCCTGGACATGGCCGCGCGCCCCCAGTCCACCGAGGCCACCCCTCCCGCTTCTCCTGCGTCTTTGGAGAAACTTTGGGATCGCCAGTTGGACACGGCCGGGGAGACGGCGGCTTGCGGGACAAATAAAAAAGGCCGCAGGTTCCGGAAAGATCCTACCGTGGAAGCCCTTACTCTGCTGGGCCCTTTGCTCAGTCTGCAACTTGAACAACTCCCAAGCTCCTCACCCACGCTGAGGCCTCACGTTTAAAGTTAAGCTCTAGTCGGGAGAACGAGGAAGGAGCCTCTGAGTTTTGTACGGGCTTCCCGATCCCGGCCTTGGGTCCCGGAGGAGCGTGCGATGGTGCCCATCACCGCTGCCTCTCCGCTGGGGACCTCACCTGGGAGGTACCACGGCCAGCTCCTGAGAGCGCCTGGTACCCTCACAGGTGCCAGTAAACTAAACTTGACCTTCGTGCACTCACAGCCCTGAGCAAATTTACAAGTCCGAAGTCCCGAGAAAACGCACTGACTCGCGCGCCGTGGGGACAGGTTAAAAGCGCTTGAGTTACGAGGCATTTGACAGTAAATAAATAAATACTTGTAATGTGAGGACAAGGGCTGCGCTCCTTCTCCGGCTTGGGCACTTCCTGTCCCCGAGGTGCCTAGCTCATTCAGGTCCCAGAGTCCCGAAATGCCTCTGCTCGAGTGGGGAACACCTTTGAAGGCTGCGGATGCGCCTCAAAGGGCGCGCGCCCTAACGGCTTCCTTGCGCGCCCAGCCAGACCAGTGGGACCTCTCACATGGGTCCCGGGTCCCTCGCTGGGTCTCCAGATCCTTCTTCAGCGAGATCCCGGCAATTTCGAACTCCCGCACCCCGACCCGTCAGCCATCCGCATCCCTGCCCAGACAAGTGCGGCCGAGCTCGCTCGGTTTCCGGGCGCTGCTACCTGGACTCGCGCCTCGGTGAGGTCGATCTTCAGGGCCAGCTCCTCCCGGGTGTAGATGTCGGGGTAGTGCGTCTCGGCGAAGACCCTCTCCAGCTCTTTGAGCTGCGCGCTCGTGAAAGTGGTGCGGATGCGCCGCTGCTTGCGCTTCTCGTTGAGGCCGCCGTGGTCGGTGAAGAGTTTGTAAGGAACTAAGAGGGTGACAGAGGAGAAAGTCAGTGAGCGGAACAGAGGGGAGCTGCAGGTGAGGACTCCAGGTCAGGTCGCCGGGGAGCCGCTACCGAACCGGCGTGGGAGAGCAGCCGAGAGAACCTGCCGAGAGACACCGAGCAAATTCGTTATGTACTGAGATGGGGGCGCACATTCCGGGCTTTGCCGGTGTTCCAGCTCAGGCGCCTCTGGGTGCGTTGAAATAGCGCATTGGAGATGGCTTGAGGCCGGGGACACCGGGACATGGGATAGCACTTTCAGCAGGGAAAAAACCGAGAGAGGAAGAAAGGGGAGGAAAAAAAAAAAAAAGAAAAAAGTCCCAAAACGTCCACGGGAATGTCAGGGAGCCGGGGAAGAAGTTAGCAAACACTTGGGCAATTGGAACTTTTCAGTTCTCAGAAGCTGACCCCGGGCCGAAAGTTGGGGGCCAAGGGCTGAAAGAAGAAGCAAAAGTAATAAACTAAAGAAATGATCATGAAAATGACCAGCCACAGAGGTGTGAGCCGCTGTCGGTTCTTAAAAAGAGAGACACTGCCAGTAATGAGCTTTACTCTTTGTTATTTAATTATTTTCTAAGCTTTACGTCTCATCGCAAAGTAAATAAATTATGCCTATCATTTTGGCAGCTTAAGATAATTTTGTTGGCGGTTCGGGTGTGACTAGGATAGTGTAACCCTGTAAGTGAATTACCCCTCCCTGCAATCGCTTCTAACGTGATAAATTCTTTCATTTGTGTAAGCAAATTTCGTTTGGTAAATACTAAACACATTTCCATTTTCAAATGCAATCAAGGCTTCCTATATACGAGCGGAAAGGCGGCTTCCTCAGCGGAGAAAGCTGGCGGTCCTTACCTGCGGCGTAGGGACTGCTCTGGTGGTCCCTCAGGGTGCCGAGGCTGCAGGATCCCGGCGTGAGGGACGGGCAGCCGGACGTGGCCCCAAAAGTGGTCCTGATCGGGTTATACTGGAAGCCACTGGCCTGACTGCAGGAACTGAAGTCCGCATAGGCTGAAGCCAGGCTCGAGGTGTCCATCCCAGCCATACAGGACTCGTAGGCAGAGGAATTGAGGTAAGAATATTCCATTTTATACATTGAAAAGGTTCTGGATGGCTCAGCCAAGTGAAAAAATGAAATAAAAGATGGATATGGAGAAGGTGGCTGGAGTGGGGAGATGTGCACAGCTCAACGCCTGCCTCCAAACTGGCCTCCTTACTACCAGCAGAGCCTAGTTTTATGAAAAAGCCTCCTATGAGATGCCTTGTCTGAGGTCTCTAGAGCATATAGTCCTCATAATAAACTTGGCTCTTTCCACTTGGACAATAGCAAAGCGGTTGGTCTTATTGCTGGCGCTTTTTACATGACAATAACTCATCCGTCTATTGGGCTGGCACTGGGGAACTGAGCTGTCCAACCTCCCTATCATTGATTCCTGCATCTCTAATTAGAATTTAATACCACACCATTACGCACTGAGCCCCTGATCCTCCTTCTAACCAGCTCCTTGCCCTTTAATTCAATCACACTGCTTGGAAATAATGAAAGTTGGGTGACGATTCTCCCTGATCCAATTTCCCTGAGCTTTTAAGCCTTTTTAACTGATCTATACCTTAGGCATAAATGGAGATAGTGTGTGTGTGTTTTCCCCCCTTCTTGGTCCTCTCCCTCTCTCTCTCTTTTTTTTCTTGGTTAGGGAGAAGAAACCTTGATGTCATAGAAAACCTGTTTTGTAAGAGTGTTACACGCTCAATTTAACAACAAGCCTACCCCCTGAAGTGCATGAAATGTTATAAAGGACTGGGACATTGGCAACACTCAGGCGCCCTGTAACATAGAGTAAGTGGGCTGAGGGGGTTTCTGTGAACGCTAAGTGCATTTCTTTCAGATACACCTGGAAGAGATGGTTTTAAAAAAAAAAATCAGAGAGCATCTTATAAATTGCATTTCTCTTTGCAGCTTAATGTGCTTTCTAGAGACTAGGTGAACAGACGCTTAAAAATAAAAAAATAAAAAATAAAAAATAAAAACCAGCCAGAGAGAGAGAACTAAGAAAAAGCTATTGGGGAGGGGGGTGGATCTGGCTTCTCTGCCGGTGGGTTCTCTGCGCTCAGGTCGGCTCAGTGGGCGCGCGAGGTCGCCTTTGGCTAGCGCTGTTGGGTTTAATGATGCCGTGACTTTAGCGAGCGGGCACCAGCGGTTCCCGAAGGCTGTCTCCTTCCTTGCCGGTCCGGCGCTCTCCCTCTCTTTTTCCGCCTCGGTGTTTACCAAGGTGCCCACCTCCCTCTGCAGACCCGGGGCTCCGCGAAGAGCGCGGCGGTCGGTCTGCCCAGTAGGTGTGCGGGGCGCAGCGAGCGGGGGCCCAGGCTTTTAGGTGCCCAGGCCAGGGCTCCAGGTTGGGCACCTTTCTTTGAACGATTCCTCGGGCTCTTGGGTGCTGGCAGCCAGGCACAAAGAAGCGCGTCGTGATTTGTGGACCTCGTGGCCCCATGATTTAAGCGGAGGGTAATTTTCATTTGGTTCGTTAGGCTCTAGCAGAATAAAGGAAACTATTTCATTAAATCCTTCCTCTCGGTGGACAAGAGGGGGAATGCTTAGCTGAATCGCCGTGTGGTGTAAACAAACCCTGGATATTTTATATGAATTAAATGTGTAGATAATTAGTTTTATTGCATTCATTACCCCCTTTATGTGCTCTGTAACAAGTCAGTAATTAAAGTAACAAACTCATAAAGTCTTTATAGGGGCATTTAGGCGTTCAGTGTTTGCCAAACTAAGTGGTTTAATTCAATGCTAGTGCCGGGGAGTGGATGCGCACCCGCTCTCCGCCCGCCACAATGTTTTATTGCGCACTAAACTGCGGCGGACGCCGTAATGGATTCCACCGGGACTGCGGCCCCCCAGCCCTGCGCCGCTCTGCGGGGCGAGCTGGCGGCGCCCCTCGGGTGACTGCGCGGCCCCGGGGCCGAGGGACAGCGCTGCAGAGCGCGGGCGGCGGGACCCACGCCTGGTGACGGTTTGATGGGGAGAGCTGATCGTTTTATTGCAGTTGTATGTTGTACAATGCGTATTTGATAAAGAGGGGCCTTTGGTGACCAGCGTGCGCTTTTTTGTGCACAGGGGTGAAATGAAAATAAATGCGTACCAGGTTTTACTGCGGCGGGAAACAAATTGCAACGCTCTAAACGGTTTTCCTTTATGGTCGCCAGACAAGAGGAGAAAAGGGACGCAAACATCTGTCTCCAGTCCCCCAAACCTAAAGGCCAGCAAAGACGGATGCGAATCCAAGTGTTATTACAGCGGAGATTTGTCTTGATTTATCCGGCTCTCATGAATATGAATCTGCATGGGGCCCGGGAGGTGGCCGGACCCCTTTGGACTCCACACATGGAATTTCCCCCACCTCGGTGCCCCCACCGCCATCACTTAAGGGAGACAGGGACTAGGTTGTCAAGCCACAAGGCTGCAATTGTCCAAGTTTCTCGGTCCCTCCGATCGAGGCCGGGGGTGGGGGTGTTGGTAGAAACGGGGTGGGGGGAATTGTCTCCTAATTTTCCGAGAGCGACCCTGCCGCCCCCCGGGGCCCGGGTGGTACCCCGGCCAGCCCGCTCCTCCAACTGCTGATGCAGGGCTAAGCGTCTTTCCCTGCAGAAGAGAGTGACACGGGGCGACTGCGGGGAGCTGCCGAGGCCTGCGCTGAACAAGGACCTCCTCCACGTCCCGCGTGGCGTCGGCGCCTCCCGGGTGTGTGCGGGCAGGCTGCAGCTGCGCGCGCTCTACTCCCGGGAAGCCCCACCCCGGGCCCGGGTCCCACGCCCCGACCGAGCGCAGGGCCGTTCCACCTCGTGTCCTCTGAGCGCCCGGGGGGCGAAGGCGGGCCGCGGGCCTGCAGTGTGTCAGGTGCTTAGGCAATGTTTCAGGATGGCTGTCAGGGGAAGCTGTGGAACTTGGGGGTTAGATGGACGCAGGATGGGGTGAGGAGCCCAGGGGAGCTGCATGTCCACAAGCCGGCTCAGGGAGACTCCGGCAGAAGCCGGGAGAGCTGAGCGAGGGCGCTGCGGAGGGCGGCTGGGGACGCGCGGCCAAGGCCGAGGCGGGTCGCCTGCCCAGAGCGCTCCCCGCCCTGGGGTCCGGGGTTCCCAGCGACCTTGGCTCCCGGCCGCCGCCTCCTCGGCGCGCCGGCGCTCTCGGGGTGCCGGGCTGTCCCCGATCTCTCCCGGGGCGCCCCCTGGTGCCCGGCGTCGCGGGGTCGGTGTGTTGCGCTCCTCCTCGCCTTTGTATCGGGAGACCTTTCAGCGCCGGGACCGCACGGTCGGCTGAGCAAATGCGCTGGACTTCATTTTCCCCTTTGTCGGCCTTGTAGGTTTATTTTGTTTCGTGTCACCGTCCCTCCGCCCCCACCCCTGGCCCGTCCTCCCGCGGCCCGCCTTTTGTGGCCCGGGGTCCTGCCTCTGCTCAGAGATGAAAGGCCAGGCCCCAGCACCAGCCCCAGCGCCCTGTTTTGTTCTAGTTGTGCTTCTACACGCGAGCTCTCCCCTAAAAGTTGTACCAAATGGTTAATTTAATTATACCAACTATAGACCAACTGCTTCAGCAGCCTCCACCACGCGTCTGGGAGGAAAAAAGAAACCATCTATAAGAAATAATCTAATAAAAGTGAAGTGTAGAAAAACCCCTCCTGATTTTCAACCGGCACAAATAGAATTAAGCTTCAGTATCCTTTTTCCCAAACAGACCTTTTGTCCAGATCGCAACTTCAGCCAACCAGCAATGTGTACAGTGCCTGCTCTTTATTTTCATAGAGGCTGGTGGGTAGCGAGATGGATTGATAGATACATGGCCGCTTGGGTAGATGGATGGTTTGTGCCATCGCCCTGACTTGCCTTTCTTAATACGTGTACACGGTTGGTTTTGTTTTTCCCTTTGCCGATTTTCTGAATCAATAATGGAAAGGCAATGCTCTTTGGCAAAAGGGGAGGGGGGCGGAGAGACCATTTAAAGTACAAACAAGGGAAGAGGCTACCACATATCCACCATGAGAAAAAAATGTTTACATGCTACGCAACAGCAAATGAAAAAGGTTGAAAGTTTAAAAGAAACTTTTCTTTCCTTTTCTTTGCCATTCATAGGAGGGTTTCTTTTTTTTCTTCTTCTTCTTTTTTTTTTTTCCTTGAAAGTCAGAAAGAATGTTAGAAGACAAGGAAACAAAACAGCAAACAAAATGCCATTGTCTTGGAGGAGCAATTCATGGGAAAAATGCTTGTCAGCGTGCTAATGCCTCACTCCTAGGAGGCTGTTTTGAGGCTGTTTTACCGCAGGCGAAGCACAATAACATGGGAATGAATAAAATATTAAATACCAGTGAGAGTTTCAGAGGAATTTTCTTTTTGATTGCTTTATTTGATGCTGCATGGAGATTGTTCCAGCCCAGTGAGCCCCACTGCCTGGCAGTCTCAAGTCACAAGTGACAGTTCTCTCCACCAGACATTTAGAAGGCCAGATTTGTCCTGGGGTTTCTGCAGAGAGATTTCTGCAGGCGGCGGCCTTTGCTCCTCACCTGCACCACGAAAATAACCTAGATAGGATTTCTGGGGAGATGCTGTCTCCCCCAGAATGTCAAGCAAACCACAGCATTCTCAACCCTGGTGACCCACTGTATTCTCCGAGTGTTTTACAGTTTTTACCGCATTTTCCATTTGCCTAGCAACCATCATACACATGTTTCATAATAGGAAGTCTTTGAGATACTGGTCACTCTCTTCCTGCACTGTGAGCCTAACAATTATTAACTGATCGACAATAGTGCATTCAACGCGGTTAGCACAGTGCTTGGCACCTGAAAAGAATCCAGCATGATGATGATGATGACATTGGCAGGGTCCCCTTGCACTGTATATTGAACTCTTGACTATGGAGTTTAGTTAGTGCATTGATGCACCATCTTTCCTATTGCACTTTTGTAATGCATGTAGAAGAGACTAGACAAATCCAAGAGTAGTTCTATCAAGTGAGAAAAAAATAAAACAACCAGGCAGAAAGTTCCCATTTCTTTTCTTTTTTTTTTTTTTAGTAATTTACTGGAAGGCATATATCTATTAGGTAGGTTAATTATATACTTTGTCTTGCATTACATGCAATATTTATGCAGGACTAATTCCTGTATGTAAGTAGATATTATACATTCAGCATGATGGCACTTGAAAAGGCATTTGCCCTCGGTTAGCTGTGTGGGTTTGAGTTGGAGCTTTATGGATAGTACCGAGGTGGTGTTTCTGTGTGTGTGTGTTGGGATTAACTTGGCAGGCAGCCCCTATGTAAGAGCCCTGCTCCATAGGTGATGGGATACAGATTCCCGTGTCCATCATTTTAAGGATATCATCGTGGAGCCCTGCTCTGCTTCTGCCCTCTCCTCTCCCCCACAGAAGGGCACTCTATAATTAGCAAAAGGAGCTGCCTTATTCCCTTTTTTGCTGGAGTTTGGCTAATAGTAGCAACATCTGCTGAGCTGGTGGTGGGGGAGACATGGGGCATTTGAGCAGACTCACAGATGTAAAAGTGACATCTGCTTGTAACAAAGAAAGGAGCAACAAAATTAAATTAGGCAGAGAGCCCTCGCTGAAGAAAAAGGGGGAAAAACTGTTTGAAGGA